TTTTTTTTTTTTAGTAATATTTTTTTTAATAAAAAAAAAAATTTAAATAAATTCATTATTTTTTATATTAAAAATATAAAAAAAAAAAAAAAAAAAAAAAAATTAAAATAAATTTATAAATAAAATTTTGTTTAAATGGCACAAAGTATAAAATTATAAAATATATGAGATCCTTAAAATTAAAAATATATAGTAACCTATTATATATATATATATTTATTATAATGATAAAATATTGATGATGATATAATTTTTTTTTTTTTTTTTTTTTTTTTTCCCTTAAATATATATATTAATTAATTAAAATGAATTTGAATGAAGATAATATAATAACAAAAAAAATAAATTTATTAAGAAGTTTGAGTAAAAATAATAATGTAAAAAGAAATTTTTATAATTATAATAATTTATTAGAAGATATTGAAGAATGTGTTAAAAAACAAAATGGATATGAACTTAGTGCTATTTTAAAATTAACAAAATTACCTGTACCAATAAATGTAATAGATAATATGAATGAAAGTGATTTAAGAAAAAAAATAAAAAAAAACAATTTTTTAAAAAATTATGAGCAATTAATAATAGATCATTTTAATATAATAAAAATATTATGTAATAAAAATAATATTAATTGGGATGTATTATTAAGTAATAGTTGTAAATTTTTATCAACATTTATTGAAATTTATTGTGATAATTTATGGCTTTTACCATATTTATTATCAATTTGTTCTTTTTTAAATAATATAAGTACATTGGCTGATTTTTATAATAATAATAAAAATGATATTTTTAATGAATATAATGAAGATATAAATGAGAAAAATAAATATACCATTGAAGTTTTAAATTCAATTAGAGGTAAGATAGGAATAGTAAAAGGAGATGTTGAAAAACATGGGGGATTTGTTATATTAATGCTTCAATCTATTAAGTTATGCATGAAATTAAATAATATGCAAATAACTTCAAGTTTTTTAAAAATTATAAATTCAACAGATATTAACTATTCTTACATACCTAAATCTTTTATTGTTTTATTTAAAAATCAATTAGGAAAATTATATTTGCAAAAACTAGAATATGAAAAAGCGGAAAAAGAATTTATATGGGCATTTTCTAATTCTAAGAAAAGTCGCATAGAATTTAGAAAAAAAATTTTAGAATCCTTAATTTCTATACGTTTAAATAAAGGAATATACCCACCTAAAAAATTATTAGAAAAATATAAATTATATATATATATAGATATTGTTTATTCCATCAAAAGAGGAAATATTTTTTTATATAATAATGTTATGAAAAACTTTTCAAAATATTTTTTTGATAATGGTTTAAATGAATGTATTGAACAAATTCATTTTATCGTTAAGAGAAATTTAGTTAAAATAGTTGTTGAATGGTGGAATAACCTTATTAAAGATAATGCAAATAAAATATTTAAAGTACCTATTAATTTATTTCATCATATATTCATATGGGCAAAAATTACACAACATCATTATTATTTAGAAACTTTATGCATTATAACATCTCTTATTTTATTTCGTTATATAAATGCATACATTTCTTATGATAATAATATTTTAGTTTTAAGTAAAAATGACCCATTTCCATCTTTATCGCATTCAAATATTAGTAGATAGACAGAAGAAAAAAAAAAAAAAACTATATATAAAAAATAAATGTAAAAAAATAGGAAATAAAAAAAATTGAAAATCAGAAATATAATGTTAGATATAATTAACATTTTATAATGTAATTTGCAGATAATAAAGTAGAATTATATAAAAAAAAAAAATTTTTTTTTATTTTCTATATTTTGGATTTATTGTAATACGAAGCCATTAATTTTTTTTTTTTTTTTTTTATCATAAATGAATATTTATTATTATTTTAAAAATACATAAATTTATTTAAAACTAATTTTTTTTTTTTTTTTTTTTAAAAGTGCATAAAAAATTCTCCCAAATAAAAAAAAAAAAAAAAAATTAAAGCTTAAAAATAGTTGATTTAAAAGTTTAAAATTTACATTAATTTTTAATTTGTAAAAATAATATTATTTTATTAATAAGATACTATATGTATTTATTATTTTAAAAATAATATTCAAGTGTATTAATAATAATCTTTTATATATTTAATAGTTATATTTTATTTAATCTTTTTAAGAAACATACATTTTATAACTAATGAGATGTTCTAAAATAGAATTTAATGTATCATCATTTAATCTAATTAAAGAAGGAATAAAATATCTAGCTTCTAATATTGTTTTAGGTAACAAATTAACTAACATAGCTATTTCATATTCATGTAAATCTCCAATTCTTTCTAAATTTGTTCTAATATCTACAATTGAACTTCTATTTTTTATTGTAGCAAATTTATTTGCATAATCGAAAGAAGATTTGATTAATCTAATAAGAAATTTATATATAATATTTTGTTTTTATCAATGTTTTTTTTTTTTTTTTTTTTTTTTAATATATTTTTTATTTTTTTTTTTATTTTTTTTTATTTTACGCTTGAGCTTCTTCATTTCTTTTAGAAGTTAATCGAAGTTGATCACCCAAAATGAGTTGTAACTCACATAAATTCAAACACTTACAATTTTTAAATTCTTTTAAAAAAAAAAAAAAAATAAAATAAATAGTATTTGTGATTAAATCTCATAAAATATTTAAAAAAAAAAAAAAAAAAAATTACCAGGCCCAAGGTCTAAATTTTTTATATCTCCTTGCATATTGTTTGCCATGGATATAATAAAAAAAAAAAAAAAAAAAAAAAAAAAAAATACAAATAGAATATCTAGTTCATATTATTTAAAAAAAAGAAAAGAAAAAAAATATTTAACTAATTCATATTTATACATGTAAAAAAAATAATAATCAAAAATTTTAATAAATATATATATATATATAATAATATTTTGATGTTTATTAAAGAAAATTAAAAAAAAAAAAATATAAAATATAATTATATAAAACAAAAATTAAAAAAAAAAAGGATATTTTTCAATTAAAATAAATTACATAAAATTTTTTTTTAATTAAAAATATTTTTAAAAAATAAAAATAAAATATTATATTTTACACTTTTATCGTTTAAAGCAAAATGTAAATTTTTTTTTATAGTATCAAATTTTATACAAAAAAAAAAAATTAAAAATAAAATAATTATAGATATACATTAGATGAATTAAATTATTCAAAACAATTATATCAACATACTAAAGGTGAAAAAAATAATTTATATTGAAAATTCATTTTTTTTTTTTTTTTTTTTCAATATAAATATATATACAAGGAGAAAAAATTTAATATACTATTTAAATAAAATAGTCATATGTATATAATATCCGTTTTTATTAAAAAAAAAAATACAATTCATTAAAAAAAAAAAATGAAATAATTACAATAATATGAATAAATTTTGAAAAATTAATTTTAATAAAATTTGTAAAGCTTTTTTTTTTTTTTTTTTCTTCGTTTAAAATGTTTTTAAGTTAATATTTAAATTACATATAATTTTTTAATAAAAATAAAGAAATCCTATAAAAATATATAATTTTACATTTAATAAAAGGAATGAATTAAAAAACATAAATAAAATAAAACTGATTTTAATATTATTATAAAATAAAAATAAAATTTTAAGCAGTGGATGTAATAATAATATAAATAAAGGATATAATTATTTTACTAGTGTTAATTATATTAAACATGAAGAAAGAAATTTATTAATTCATTACAGAAAATTTGAAAAAGACCAAATAAAAGACACAATATTTTCCTTTCATCTTTAATAAAAAACAATTTTTAATAAAGGAAAAAAAAAAAAAAAAAAAAAGTTTTAAAATTAAATACGTTCCTTAAAATATCTATAAAGAAAAATATATTTGTGTATAATATAATCCTTCAAAATTTTACAAGTATTTTTTTTAAGGTCTCCTAAAAATTAAAACTTATTGAATATCATATATATTATAAAGAAAAAAAAAATAATCTTTAGAAATATGAGAAAATATATATTAAAAAATTTTAAAAAATATATGTATAAAGGAATTCTACGATTTTTTTCTTAAAATGCTTATGTAAAAGAAATAAAAATATGCATCCTTAAAGGCATACCACAAAAAAAAAAAAAAAAAAAAAAAAATTATAATCCTTTTTTAGTTTTTTATATATTGAATAATTTTTTTAAATATGAAGAAAAAATAAAAGATAATAATTAAGAATATTCGTATTTATTATTTACATATTATATATTATGCATATTTAATTTTTTTTTTTAACAAAACATTAAAATGAATTTAAAAAATTAAATAGTATTATTTTTATAGAGAAAAAAAAGAGACGTTAACTTTCAATATAAGAAATACAAGAAATAAAAAAATAAATTAAAAGAAAAAAAAAGGAAATTAAATATTGAAAAATATTTTTTTATATCACTTTTAAATTAGATAATACATAATAAAAAAAAAATAAATAAATAAATAAAAAATAATAAATAAATAAATAAAAATAATAAAAGAAATCAATTATAGAATTAAAATTTAAACAAATATTCATTACATGATAATAACTATATTTAAATAGTATTATTATATATAATTACATTTAATACATATATATATATATATATATATATATATATATATATATATATATATATATATATATATATATATATATATGATTTTTTATTTAAAATTTTGAAGATTTACCTATGAATATAATTAAATTTAAAAATATATTAATCATTTTTTGATATATATAAATATATACATATATATATATATATATATATATATGTATCTTCTAATAGAAAATATGATTAAAAAAAAGAATTAACACTTAATTTTGTTTTCTAAATAAAAAAGTAAGACAATTCAAGAATAAAAGAAAGTTTAATAACTTTTTTGAAAAAAAAAAAATTTAGATAATTAAGAAAGAACTCTGATTTTGTATCCATATATAATTTTACGTTTATTAATTATATTTTATTCATTTGTTGATAATAGAAAATGGGATTTGTAAAAGCAGAAGAATTTATAAATCATTACATGAGGGTAAATAAGGAAATTAAAGAATTATCAAATAGAAAAAATGAAGAATTTAAATTTAATATTTTCATTTTTTATTATAATAACATCGATTCTTTATGTACTGAACACATTTTACATTTTCATAAAAATTTGAAAAGAGATATTAATATATTTAGTTATGGTGTAGAAAAAAAAGAAGATATAATAAATTTTTTTAAAAAATATGATGATATATATGCAAAAAATAAAGAATATTATAGAGATTATTTTTTTCAAGTTATATTAATAGGAATTTGTTCTCATATAAATACCGATACAACAATTTATGAACATATTGAGAATTTTTTTAGTAAAATTTTAAGTAAAAATTATTTAGGTTATTTAAAATTTTTTGTTATAGATAATAAGAGACCTTTTAATGAAATCTTTGAAAATAGTGATAAGTGGGAATTAGTACTTTATGAAAATGAACTAAATGAAATAATAGAGATATATAATAATAACAAAAATAATAAAGAGAAAAATAATTCTTATTCAAATTTTTTTGATCATTATAAAATAGTAAAAGAAGAATATAAATGTTTATGCTTAATGATATATCCTTTTATACAATGTGTAAGTGAAGATGATTCATCAGCAACAATTTTTATTTCAAGTATTTCGTTAATATCATATTTAAAAACAGATCAGATAACTCATGAATATTACAATAAAGAAATAAAAAACTTACATAATGACTCATTAAATATTTCTAGTGGTCATTTTATGTGTTTTGAATCCGAAAGAGGATTACTACCAATGTTATCTTTTATTTCCTTAAATGAATCTCTAGAAATTGACGAAAGAATATATATATATGATCATAAAAATATTAAAAATACATTTAATCAAATTAGAACAATGTGTCATATTGAAATAAAAGAGTTTACGGGTAACTTTAGACAACTTGATTTAAGAAAACAAAACGAAATTTTAGTAAAATTAAAAAACTTCATAAAAATAATAAAACCAATGAATACATTAGGATGGAAGAGAAGAACATATGTTCTCTACAACAATGACAGTTTTTATTTTTTAATCATACTTATTTATATATATATAAATAGAGCTAAAAAAATGGATACATATCTTTATAACTGTTTAAAAACATCTGACTTTTTGCATAATATTTTTAAAGATAGATTAAAGCAATCTGAGATTTATGATAAACTAATTGAAAAACATCTACACAAAAATGCAGCAAATTATTTAAGTATATTAATTAAAAAAATTATTGAAAGTAATAAAAAATCCATTTCTATAACTCCTAATTTGAAAATTTTCTTAGACATATTTCAAACACCAAAAAATTCTTATTGTCATCCTTTTGAATTAAAATTTATATCTAATATGTTTTCATCATTTCAATCTTATTGTAATGATAAATATAAAACATATCACCTTATTGTTAGTCATATTATAGATTCAGATGATACAATTTTATATGGATTTACACCATTAAATAAAAAAGATTATTGGCCTTTAATTTTTTCAAAAATTGCATATACAAATTCAGAACAAATTATTTATGATGCATTAGTGGATGTTAATACAATCAAAATAAGAAAAAACGACTTTAAATTTATATTGGACGAAATAAAAGATGTATTTAGAAGAATGATTAAACATGATCATAAAAAAGAATTAGATGAAAATGTTAGTAGTGAAGAAGAATTTTTAGAAGAAGATGAAGATGATAGAGAAGAAGAACATTTTGAAGAAGGGCAAATAAATGAACTTAATGAAGAGAAAAATTCAGTAAGTGATGATGCAAATGAATAGCTCTATCCTTATACAAATTTTTAATTTTTATTTATTTTTTTTTTTGTTCTTTTTAATGCATACAAAAAAATATACATTTGAAAATTATTTTTTTGTTAAATATATATAAGATATGTACATATTTTTTTTTTTTTTTTTTAATAATTCATTTGGATATATACATATATATATATATATAGAGAGAATATTCCTTTGACAAGTGTGAATATAGTATTTATATTCCAAATTTTTTTCACAAATTCACATAATATTTAAAGTTAATCATTTTTAATTTATAGAAAATAAGAAAGTATATATTTATATAAATATATTTAATTATTTAACTGAATATATGTTTTCTATATTTTTCTTAATTTTTTTTTTTTTTTTTTTGTGTGTACATATACATGTCACATATTTTTTAAATGAAAATGCAATATAAAATATGCATGGTGCTTTATTTGTGAATTATAAAAAAAAATTTTTTTATTTTTAATATTTTAATTTGAAAATATAGTATATATTTTATAAAATAAAATAAATTTAAAAAAATGATCCAAAAAAAAAATTAATAAATTACATTTTTTAAAACAATTTAATACATAATTTTAAATATTGCACACGATTTTAATATATCAATATTTCTTTTTTTTTTTTATTTATTTTTATTCGTCTTTCTGCTTTTCATTTTTGTTAGAAAAGCATTATTTTAAGGTAAATATTTCTTTTATAAAAAATTATAAAAATAAAAATTATAATAAGAGGGATATCGTATTTTATTATGTTAAATGTAAAAAGAAAAAATAGAGTATAATAATCTACACGTTCTTTTATTCAAAGAAAAAAAAAATTTTTTGTTTTTTTTTTTTTTATACGTTATGAATAAATATTCATTCTAATATGTTATATATTTTCTTTGAGAAAAATTTTAAGATATTTTTAAATTTTTTCTTTTTCTACAATAATTCTTTTTTTTTTTTTTTTTATTTTAAATATACTTCTTATGTATATTTTATTTTTATTAAAATTTAATTATTTTTTTATTATTTAAAAATATATTTTTTATGTTTTTATTAATATTAAAATTATAAGCTCTTAGAACTAGCTTCGTATTTCTTATTATTAATTATTGTGAAAAAATATATTATAGAATATACATAAAAAAAAAAAAAAAAGTCATTTCATTTTTTCTTTAAATGAATATTTTTTTGTAAATTTGTTTCAAATAATAAATTTTCTTTAAGTGGAAAAATTTTATTTTAAATGAACCAAATTCTTAATAGTAACGCAACCATAATTTGTAAAAATATTCCTATTGATATCAATCGTTTTGAAATTACTGAAATATTTAGTAAATGTAATCGTTTTAAAATTAAAAGAAATTTAAAAAAAGTAAATGTAAAATTTTTTTTTTTTTTTTACTTTTAGATGGCCCATTATTAGGAGAAGGAATTTATTTTGGTAAAAAAAAAAGTGGTATGTTTTTTATAAAGTATGTGCATTTTAAAGATGCCATAAAAGCTTATGAAGTAAAGAAAAATATAAATTAAAAAAAAAAAAAAGTTTTGACTATATTTTTTAAATGTCTTTAAAAAAGTTTTTTATTTTCTTATATTATTTCTTTTTTTTTTTAACCTATTTAAAATTAGAGTCTAAAAAATAACAAAATATGTGAGCATGATTTTAAATTATCATTTAGTAAAAATGATGAGATAAAATACAAAGCTTTAAAAGGTATAATAAAATTTCACCTTTTTTTAATAAATATATATATATTTTTTTTTTTATAATTTCAAGATAATAAATATTTAAATTTTTACATTTATTCATATATTGTATACTGAAAATATACTTTTTTTAATAATATATATAAAAGAAAAATTGATGTATTTTAATGGGATATATTTTGTTTAATATACAAAATTGCATAATTAAAAAAGTACACAAGTATCTTTTTTATTAATTTTTTTTTTTTTTTTTTTTAAACATATAGGAAATAAAAAAGCTATTATAGAATTAAAAAATATTTATAATAAAAATGAAGAAAGTAAAACTAATAATGATATATCTATTGATATAATAAATGAATTAAATGAACAGAATAATGAATTATTAAAAAAAAAGAAGAAAGAAAAAGAAATTGAAAAAAAAAAAGATAAATCTTTTATTTTAAATTTACTGACAAAGACAGATGAAATACAAATAAATGAACAAGACATCAAGTATTCAAAATAAAAAAAAAAAATAAAAAATATTTCTATTCATTTTATTTTATAATCATTTTGTTTAACTCTTTTATATTTATATATTTTATTTTTTTTTTTTTTATTTTGCTTTTGTAGATTAAGGGAAGAATTAAAAAATTATATAAACCTAAATTGTTTATGCTCCTACGACTTTGATGAAAATAATAAATATGATAATTATTTAACACCTATATTTCCTAATTAATTTATAATTAAATATTAAAATAATTGTTCTTAAAAAAAAAAAAAAAAAAAAAAAAAAGAAAAAAAAAAAA